AATCAAAGCTACTCTGTTGGTTCTGAAAGAAGGCATGACTCAGTACTCTTCAGAAACAACTGTTTGGCCAGTTGTGCAAGTAAAAACTTAAGCTAGGAGACACTAAGAAAAGTAGTACATTCTGATGCTATCAATCTCTCTAACAAATCTTTCTTCCTTCCACTGGGGAAAAAAAAGTAGAAGACATGTCATGGATTAAGTCAATGTATGAATCTAACTTTATGGTCACCATGAACAGATTCATACATTCAGAACATAGAAGTCTTTTTTCTTTTTAAAAAAAGTGACATAGAATGTAAATTAAATACAAAGTTCTGAATTTATCATTTTCTCATGTAAACTATTTGAGAAATGATTAAAAGAATGAGCAAAAAAATTGGAAAATATTTTTGGCTTAATACTTTTAGGAAGAGATTCCCTTTATCTCCTCCCCCAAATGTTTACAGATGTGAAAACATTAAAATAAAGGAAGTGGAAATAAGTATCTCAAAGTAGGATATGCCATACTTTTTCCTCCTGTATGTTTAGGATCTCAAAGCTCTAAAAGGTTCACCCTCACACAACGTTCATGCTCTACTAAATGTAGACAAATCATTTGGCTATGTAGTTGCAAATTACTAAAGAATACCAAGCTTGTAACAGGGGAAACATATGCTGTCTTTTGGGTTTAGAATATGGTAATTATGTAATTAAGATTTTACTTAAAAGATTGCTATTATAAGCAATTTTTAGCCTCTGTAATGATAATTCTTTCTTATATAAAATGTACCTAAGTAGGCTTATCAGGAATACTGGGATTATACAAGATTTGGCAATCATGCTGTCCATACTACTGATATAGACATGTTATATAAGCACGTATTATATAAATATACTGACATATTCACTACTTATATTAATATAGCTAGCTTCTCTTGAAGACTTGTACCATATCCTATGAATCCATTCACAGCATCTAGTGTGTACATAATTACAAAAATGAGATACATTTTTGTGATCATTTCTTATTTCTGCTGATTCATCTCTATTTTTCCCTAGTTTTGCCTGTATTTCTGGGCCAACATTCTCCAGATGCCTGTTAAGTTGCTTTTGAGCAGGTTTGGCAAATAGGAATCCTGACTGCATTGCCTGGGGATGGAAGAAAAGCTTCTCCAATCCCTCCCTGCTCTCTCTCCCCCTACTACCACATCCCACCCCAATACACACACCAGGCTCCTCCTCACACTTCGGTGACATATCTGGCAGTGGTTGTTCCCTCCATAGCATCAGCTCCCATGGGATAATTCTGTTTCTACATCTCACAAAAAAGCAGTTGAGTGCTTGTAGCTCAGTGATGGTAAACCTATGGTATGCGTGCCAGACTGGCTGTTCCAAATGGTTCATCACTGCTACATTCTACTAGATGGCTCAGTATAAGCTCTTGTAACACTATCCCCTCCCAGCCCAAACAATGTGTTTTTCCTAGTTTTAGGACTACCTCAACAGTCTGACATCCCAGTTCTTCCATTAACCTATGTAATCATTCTCCTTACACTAATTATTTTCTATCTGCTATACCCAGAGTAAGTTTTGTTTTACTGAGTTGCTCCTTACTGATACAACACTTGGTACCAGAAATAGTCCAGGGAAATAGCTATTCAACATAAAACTCTAAGATTGTTTTGTCATCTCTGAATTCAGTAACAACCTCCTTACAGGCAAGAAACAGAACAGAAACAGCACTCAGAGATTTTACAATTATTTGAACTATAAGCTGTGGTTTCTTGATACATAATGCAAGTAGAAGGCAAGGCTTGTTTGCTCTCTTATACTTTCCCTATGGTTCCTTTATTTTGAGTGGATCAAGGCAAAAGCATCTTCCAGGGCTTATCAATCACTTTTGGTTAGCAGTAACAGACATAGTGCAAAACTAGACGGGGAAGGAGGGAAAGCTAGAAAATTTCTCTTCCTCTTATTGCAGTGTTATTTCTAGCATTCTGCATCATCTACCATCTCAGCCCCCAGAAGTAGTGTCCGTCTCTGTCTTACCCTCCCCTCACCCCATGGACAGCTCCTGCCATAGTTGTAGCTTTTGAAAGGCCAATTCAGCTTCTTGGATGTTAACTCCAGCTTCCTACACTCCTTGCAGATGGAAAAGTGAGTTCTAAAGCAGGGAATCAAGACAGTGTACCATAGCATTACCTCAAGCTACTTGGGTTTAAGACATTGTGAAAACATCTCTTTTCCTCTCTCCAGAAACACCCAGGGATATGTACAAGGAAAAGGTTGGTAGATAATGTATAGCCTCGTGGGTTGCAGCTATTACAGTGTTAAACTTCATGCTTATTGACTCCCTCCTCCATTACCCACAATGTCCTCTCTTCCTTGGCTAGCTCCTTGGCTCGTCTTGGTGACTGACTAGGGGGTCAATTTGATTATTGAGCCCCTTTCACACAATTTAGCACTCATCAATTTGCTACCAATAAAGGGGAAAAAAGAGTATCAAGAGTTGCCTATATATACATGCCTACTGCTGCCACTGTATAAAAGTACTGTATAATAGCAGCTGAGCCTCTAATACCACAGGTCTACAGGGTTCCATGGCTCAATGGAAAGGGCCATTTCCACTACAGCACAGACATATTGCACAACCCTTTTCTGTTTTCTGCACTAACCTGTGCCCAAAATCACACAGCTATTGATTTACCAACTTTTCTGGCCTCAATTTTATCTAAAAAAGAGAATTACAGTGTATATAAATTGCAATATATGATGAATTATTGTGAGGACTGAGTTTATATATATGAAGCATGTAGTGTCTGGCATATAATCCTTCAATGGTATGTACTATTTTGTATTAATTTATATTATTTTTGCCAAGATCTATAAACAAGATCCCTTGTATCTCTACAAACAAGTATTTATACTATGCTTAGAAAACACAGGACTGTGTTTGGGTTTTAATATGTTTACTGCTGTATTTGAGCATATTTGATTTGCTTCAACAGAAATTCAAACTCCCTTGCTATGTTAAATCTATCAAAAAGCCAAATCTGGATATGTGAAGTTAGCATCCAGGTAAGTGACTCAATTAATGGAGTACAGGGGTCACTGGGTAAACACTTCTACATTGGTGGACATTCTGAGGTACATTTGAGGGGTCATGCCTCAGTGGGCTACAAAAGTGATTAACTCAGTAACTCACCATTGTATTGGCTTTCCTTCTTCCCTGATTCCTTGTCTATTTTTGTTGAGATCACAGCCTATCAGAAGCTAAAAGGCTGTTGAAATCGATTTAATGTCCAAACAGAATTCAATAGTATAGTTAATCCACTGTAGCAAAATATTATGTTCATTTCATGCCCTTGGCTCACTTTATCATTCTCACTAGTATTAGCAACTTGATGCACAGAGGTATAACTTAATGCTTAATGCATTTTGCTGGAGCCATACCAAGTTTCTTGCTTTCAGTACCCCCAATCCTATTCCACTATATGGACACCTGAATAAATTTGTTAATTTGATAGATGCACTATATTAATATAGTGGGAGGGAAAACGAATTCACACTCATTGAGTAACCCTTTTCTCAGAATTCTGTTTTCCTATCCCTCATGTAAACAATGCAAGAGTATTTCCAGTCTTCAGAGGGTTCTTTGCAAGTTTATGTCCCTGTAAACCCACAGTGGTGATAAACAGTTAAGTTGTGCTTTCCTTCCTTATTTCATTATTCCTAATCATCATGGATGATTAGGATCATTTATCCAAATCAACTTGTCTTGTTCTCTGCTTTTGAAGAGAACTCTTTCAGGAGATTTTCTTATCTCCACTCCACCAATGTGTATATTTTGCCAAGGGTAATAACAGTGAATGCCAGGACACTTGGTGAAAATCTTTGATGCTGTAACCCAGGAGTCTTACCAAAAAGGCAATTACTATAAACCCTGAACTTCAAGATCAACTTCACAGGGGCCTGTTTCTGGAGAATGCCTTAAAGGCTGGCCCACATAAAGGGTCCTATAAAACAAAGCCCTTATGGTCAGGAGCCAGTTCACATTGGGTGTTCAGTTAAAATGGTTGAGTCAATAAGTACTAAAATTTCAACACAGAGAATGCTATTGATGTTCCAAAATAATGTCACTGTCTCCGCAAGCATTCAACATACTGATCTGTTTCACTGTTACAATGTTCTGAATCATACAACTTGAGTCATTTTTTCAGCTGAGTATCTCTAGAGTTTGCAGAATTTCTAATTATTCCACTGTGTAACCTTCCTTTCTTCCCCACCCTTTTTCCAAGATCCTAAGATCACTATTCCAACTAAAATATTTCAGCATCTTGTGTTATAAGTACATCTGTATTGTAGTTTCTTTCAGCACAGGGAGCTTGTCTTTCATCTTTATATCCTTCACAGTACCTTGATCACAGAGGATACCTAACTGTGTTTTGAATGAATTTACTCTAGGTCTAGGTCTTGTAATTGTAGAATTTTACAGTGCGGGCAGTTCTGGTATTCAGCTTATCTGATGGTTGTCTGTCAGTCAGGATAAGCTAAATTTAAATACTAATAGCCTTTATTATATTAAAGAAACAAATCTAGCATTTGTTTCTTACTGAGTGTACTGTTAGGTCTAAAGGTCATCAGGGAGAGTCCTGAACATCTAAATCACTTGAAGATCTAGAAGTTGGTGTCCATCTCAACATACACTTTCATAATCGCCAATACACAAGAAAATGAATGTATCAAATTACATATTGGCTCTTCAAATTCTACTCAGAAGTGACACATGTCCCTCTGCTTGGATTTCTTTCTGGCTGAGACAGATACATGAGAAGATTCAAAAACTATCTTAAACAAAGGCCTTGTTTAAGTATTATTTTTGTGAGAAAAAAATTGTAACATAAATTCGTAAACATTTTGCCTAAATTACCTTGGCTCTCTAATTCACTTTGTAAGAGAAACATCAATCTAAAAGTAGAGACTTACACTGCACAAATACAAATCAAAAACCAAGACAAAAGTACGCAGTTGCAAAATGGCCATTTATTGCCTACAGGGAAGGAAAGGGAAAGAGAAAAGGAGAAATACACAGGTGCAAGGAAACAAGCATATATTTAGCCCTATACATCATGTGTGAGCAGTACCCAATCTTCAAAATGGAAAAAGTTTATCATCTGACAGTAGTTAAGGTTCTTAAGCACCTCCCTTCTGAGCTGCCACAAGATATAAAAGGCAGGACTGCTTTGTTTAGTCAATGTTCACATTAATGAAAAGACACTATCACCTAACTGTGTCCTTTCACACACACATTTTGTATAGTGTCTATTGTGAAAAATATCTCAGCTAAGCAGTTTGGTCAAGATTGACTCATCAATTGTTTAATAAATAGAAAAATAAAGCAGCTGGTGATTTTGTCAGGAAGAATGTGTTCAATAAGAATAGAATCACTTTCTCCACCCAGGGATGACAATGTAAAATGTTTAGAACACTACAGAATCAGTCTATTAAACACTAGCAAGCTACAATTACATGGCACTTTTTAAAAATCATTTGACTTAAAAAAGAAAACCTTAGATTTTAAACCAATTATTGGAACACAGCAACAAATTGATTTAATGTTTGGCTTTTTCTTCAGACAAAATCAAAGTAAACTCAAAACAATTTATTTTGAAATAGTATTAACAGAGACTGTCAAAAAGTGTTCAGTAAAAAATTACTGAACACCTTGCTCAATTTTAAAATTTGAGCAAATCATGTGCTTTGCTTTCTGACCATTGGAATTAGTTACAAAAGCATTTTTTAGGCCATAAAATGAATAAAATGTATGTAAAACAATGAATTAGTTAACTTAATGTCAGGTAATGAAAATGAATGGACTCCTCCCTACTCAAATGGTAAACTGAGCAGAAAAGAAGACAGCCACATGGAAAATTAGTTGGCACTTATTATTTGGTTGAAAGAAATCACAATAGAAGATATAAATTAATCCATAGTGAATTTGACCAAACATCTGGGCCCTTTCAAAGAGAAAACGTTAAGTACATTCTCTTAAGTTGGGGGTGGGGGAAACCCCTATTTACTGTCCCACTTCAGAGGCAAAAAAGTTGAAATATTCATCCTTCTTGAAATACTGCAAATACCCCTGTTGAACCCTGTAACTCAGCTTCTCTTAGATGAAAGAATTGTTTGCATTTGAACAACTGTACCAATGCCCATAGTGCACTTCTCAGTGCTGCTGGTGTTTTAAGAAATTTGCCACTCACAACACTGAACAATTCCAGATCCAGTGTGCTGTAACACAGTCATCCAAACCACCCCACCCCAAAAGTTGGCAGAGCACCGCTCAGAAATTTCACAGGTAAGGGAATATATTTTTTAGCAAGTCAAGCACAGAGAAAGGACAGTACAGTTTCTGAACAAATACAAATCCAGATACTGCATCACTCACGGCATCAGGATTGAAACAAGTAGTAGGTTACCACACCCATCAAGTAAGAAGCAAAGCCACTGTTTCACACATCAATGCTGAGCCAATTTTGTGAGTTCAGATAACTACAGGCAAATTAAACAAATTTTCTACATACATATAACTGGTAACTTTAAAGAAAACATCAGTAACTTAAAATTAACACAAAACTGAAATGAGTAAGAATGGACCATTTCTGAAAAGACCATCATGATTGCTTTAGAGTTAAAAGTAACAGACATAGAAATAAAAATTATGAGATTGTTTTAACAAAATAGTAAAAGGAGCCAAATTATGCCTTCTAAAAGACTCTAAAAGCCAAATATACCATGCTACCGTGCCAAAAGAGTCATATCACTTGCATTTGCACACCCTTAATCTAATGTAATTTTACTTCTGATGAAAATTCTAATTTCAGTCCAACACTACTCACTTGGAATGATGTGCCATAAAAAATTAACATTTACTAGACATGTTCTTAATTCATTTGCTTTGAAAGTAAAAACTCTTTTACTTAAAATATTCCCTAACTTCAATGTCATATTGATGAATGAAAATTGTAACATTCTTATTTTCCTTTGGTTTAAGAATAATTCAAATGGGGTAGCGGGGTTAAAAAAAGAGTAATTCAAATCTAACCAAACATATCAAAATATATTCGTTATTTCCTTATTTCTTCCTTCAGGACTTGTGATTTAAAAGAGAAATTTGCATAAAGAAAGTGTTTGATTATAGTAAGAAATATGCATGCTCTCCCTTACCTCCTTCTTGAAAATTATTGTGGTTTTTGTTTTGCTTTGCTTTCTTCTTTCTGTGGCTCTTGTTCAGAATATCCTGCAGTGGAAGATGTAAGGGCTTTCTTTCTTTTCACCCTTAGCTTTTAGGTGGCAATAATGAAAGGTGCCCTATGCATTTTACTCTTAAACAGATTACAACTTTGGTAAGTGAGCCAGGTTAAAGATACAATAATTTTTTTTTAATTTGAATTGGTGATCTTGATGGCATTATAAAACTGTAATTGCCCAAAACAACAATAAAAGTTCCCACCTGTCTACACATTCAATTAAAGTTCCTTGCTTAGAAAAATAATTCTAACTTTTCAAGTTAATTTGCTATCTGACAGTGTCATACAAATATCATATAATTCAAAAGGAAAAGAGGCAAGTGAATCTCAACACATAAGAAAGTTGGTATTTTGAAGAGGAGAGGGCAGGTAAGGGAAAAGAGCCTTACAAATGTGAAAATTCACATTTCTGTCAAAACAGATGCGTGACTGTCATTTTGAAACATGCAATAAAGCCTTTGTTTGCTATAAAACCATTACTGTAGCAAAAATTGATGTTTTTCTATGACTGTAGCTACTGATCAGTCAGCATACTTTGCAAAGCTATTGAACTACATCAAACTTAGAATATAAATCTTAAAATCAAATTAAGTATTGGGACAGAGTTCATTTCTAACATTAGAAAATTATATCAGGAATGACAAAGCATATACTATACCTGTGGTTCCTTCAAAAAACTTATCTAACCTATTTCTTCTTGTGCTTTCTACTTCTTGTTTTATACTGGAAGTATAGATGGTATTAGTGACTTTTAGATATACAAGTTTTCACCCATTTAACAAAACTTACTTAGGAGGCAGAGTTTTTAAATAGAATATGTTTGTCCAAGTTCCAGTTTTAATACTACACCCTCCATTCTAATTTAATCTGTCATAGAATCAAGTGATATGAGTCTTAGATATTGTTCAACTTTCTCCTTTTCATCTCTGTGATTCAATACATAACTTTTAAGACATCAAAAAAAAGGAGCAAATAAGAAACAGAGCTTTTTATATTTTCTGCAAACTAAAACACAGTGGCTTTTTAAATACATTCACACAAGATGCTTAACAATAAAATTAAATATCTGTCTATGAATATCAGAAAAGTAACTTGAAAAGAAAAGAGCTTAGAAAAGGCAAATGGGAGGGGGGAAAAAGCTGGTCTCAGAACCCATTGTGCCATACCTGACTTTAACATGTGATATTCAAATGAACGTTCACACACCTTACATTAAATGAAACAAAAATATTCAGCTATGTTTACAAAAATTTTTTACATACAACATCATAAATCTTGAACAGATTTACTATATCTGAATTCTAAAAAGTTGCCTATAGAATGGTGCTGGGATTCTGTTCTCTGCTTGCTTTTAGGCAGTGCTGTTGCTTAAAAGTTGACACCAGGCACAATATTTTAAAACAAAGTCAACAAGCAAGGAGCAGTACGTGGATTTGAGCCTTTTTCAGACGTCAGTCCTGAGGATGCTGCAATGTTCCCCATCAAAATATGTAAAGCTATGAGGCAGATACTGATGCCTGAGAGAGTGATTTGACATGCACTTTTATGACTGATAATGGCAAACAGTGCCGTTTTCCCTTCTTCAAACACTGCTTTTAATAAATTTAAAGAACACTCCAGTTCTTAAATATCAGAAACCATGTTTAACGGTTTTTAAGAGAACATATCACAATCTTAAAATGCCCCATTGTCTTTTATGTTCACATAAAATATGCAGCAGTTCAATGACATTAAAGCTTAACTTATTCTGAGAACTAGAAAGTTTATGAGCATATATATTTTATTTTTGTTGAATATATACTGTATGTCAGTCACCTCTTCCTTTTGGCTTCTTACTGCCAAAGTTCCAAATGGCACGCATTTTAACAAGACAATGCTGAGGACAGCAGCTCTTCTGATCATCTGAACTGGCAGCTCAAAACAGATACCACTCCTTTTACAAAGGGAACAGAGGGTGAAGGGTGTTGTGAAATTTGGGCAGTGGGCTCAAGGGAAACCGTGCACATGAAATTTGGGTTACCATGCCCCAAGTGTGTGCGCCACCCAAAACATAACACAATTACCTACTTCAACAAAGTTACTACCAACATTTACTTAATCCACATTGAAAGTACACAGGATAATGACTGGTTTGAAAGAGTGCATTTGGAAGCAGAGAGAACCCAATTACACACCTTCCTGCAACAGAGTGCCTCAATCATACACAAAATAAACTTAAGCTGTTTACAATGTTTCCCAATTTTTTTTTTATTTTTCCCTCTACATTTAACTATTAAAAAAGTTTTTTATTAATAAATGGGCTCCTCTGTGGTTCATATACAATCATAAGTGAACTTTAAATTCCATTTTATACAAATATCTCAAAAATATTGGGAGTGAAGTATGGTAGGAAATATTGCTCACATTGCTAATTAACATGCGCATATGAAAGGAGGAAAATGTTTTGTTAGTGCATATACCTCCCAGCAGAAAACCCACCCAAAATAAAAGACCCAAAATAAAACATACAGTAGCTGATTACAAAAAAAAGGTAATGTCCACAAAATTAAGTTTTTCATGCTATTCTACTTTCCAGTACTATGCTTCAATTTGCATGGCTAGATGTTGGATGTTTGAGGTATATAAGAAGGGGTACCTGCACATGGAGGAAAATCTGTTGTCATAAGGGTTGTTTTTGTTTATTCTGATACTTTAAAATATTTAAAAGAATATTTTATTTACATGAAACTTCACTGAACTACAATGACATTCCAATTATAATAGATGACAAACAACGCCTCTATCACTAGGCACTTTTAAAAGGGGGATTAGGTTTAGGCTGTACAGAACCCTACTGATACAATCTCATACATGTTATTTATCACATCATCCCACCACCCTCATCCCACTAAAATTACCCTTTAGGGAAATATTATCGTATATAGCCTGATTGATTTATGCAAGAAATGACCAAAGGAAATGCATCATTTAAGACTAATAAAACAACCTAACATGTCAGGTTTGAAAGAGGAGACAAATGTATATATTTAAAACTAATTAAATAATTTAAATTTGACTTATACTTTATATATTAGCAAGACACAAATATAGGTTATTTCTTTTAAAATTTCATTCACATAATGGAAAATTTGTTTATTAAAAATATCACACTTTGAGACTAGAAACAGTAAAGTGCATGAAAAGTTTAAAATATAAATTTCAGAAAGTTCTTATAGCAGCAAAAAAGCAGAATAAAGAAAAACTTAAAAACACAGACACAACCTTTTCCTGTTACTGTGCCATAATTAACATCACGTGGCAATTATTTTTTTCCCCCAGAAAGCAGTGTTATATTCACTGTCTTTTGAGCCATTGATTTTAAAATGGCCCCTCCTGGGAAGAAAAAGAAAAGAAAAAGAAAAGAAAAGAAAAAAAAATGCCAACATGTCTAAAGGCATCAACAGTTGAGAATAAACCAGTAGCTTCTTAATTCAACCCTGACAGACAATAGAAACAAAGATTAAAAGCATATGATGGCCATTTGGCAGCTAGAGTTAGGAAAAATGATCCGAAGTTTTCAACTACTGCCCCCAAATCTATGCTTTCACTCCCTCCAATCATCTGCATTGTTACCTGAAAAATCCCAAACCAACAGATAGTTAAACTTACTTGGGGAAACACATGAAATATTTGTATGGCTTTCCCCTTCTGAAATTTTGATCAGGGCTTCTTTTCAGCAGTTTGATAAACATTTAACTGTAATGGCAAAAAATGGTAACAGATCATGTAGTATCTCTTTTTTTAGTACAATCAGACAGAAAAGGGTAGGAAAATATGAAAAACATCAGATACAAATTTTGTATGCATTTTCAATATACCAAATTCTAAATTACTTGCTATTTCCCTACAACTGAACTGAAGAGAGAGGCTTACAATTAATACTTCTCAAAAAGTTGTAACTAAACAGGAATAAAAAAGTGATTCCTCAAAGCAACTGGTGAATCTCCAACGAACTGTCAGTGCTACTGAATGCTTGATTTTGAAGGCAATTGTATAATCATCTTTTAATTTCTCAAACTTCCTTATAGATAGAGGCTATATTGTAGTTTATATACAAATAAAGAAAATTTAAGTGCTTTGTTAATGTGCAAATGATTTAGGGAGCCAAAAGTTAGTTTATCATGAAGAAAAGCAGAAATTCAAGAAATTTTTCCTTGTAATGCATGCCATCATTCAATTTAAAATCTTGTATAGTTTTTAAAAATTTCTTTTTATACAATGATTGGCTCATTTGAAATCATTCACAAAAATGTGTTTCAAGAAAGCAAATACAATGTTCTTGGGCTTCGAATTGGTGATTTATCAATTATGAATACTGACAATATAATTAAGAAGAATGTCCAAATTTAAAAATGTTAAATTAAAATTTTGGAAAGTACTATTCTGGTTCCAGCCCTAGTGCCAAATGATATCAGTATGCACAAAAATGCACAAAGTCTTATAGCAAACACATAATGAAAGGAACCTGAAGAAGCAGCTTAAGGATGGCCATACTTCACTCCTACATACTTTGATTTACAACTGTACAGGTCCATAGCAACGGGTCCCCATCTTTGCGGGGCAATACTCCACTACCTCCGATTAGGCAAGTGAACACCATTGACAAGAGGCAGGACTGGAGGGTGGAGTTCAAGTTGTGTTAACAGTGAGAAGTGGTCTGAAGGGATGTGAGGGTGTGGACACCCAGTGATGTTGTTCTCAACCAGCCATTGAGGATCTAAAGGCCCCAGGACACCAAGCACGTTCATATGAGTCTTGGAATAGAAAATGTAGTCAATCACACCCTGGAAAGAGATTGGGGTTTGGGGGAAAAAAAAGAGAGAGAAATATATGCTTAGGAAATAAAAACTATATAAAGAACAATCCATAATATATAAAAGCCAAATAATCAAGAAAACTGTATTTCTGGTACTCGTTACCTTGACAGTGGGTAAATAAGGCTCAAGTCTTCAATAGGAATTACAAGAAATAAAGCTGGCACAACAGAAACACACTATATCCTACTGAGTCACTTGGGCATAACTGATAAACTGAGAAGCTAAACATACCAAATTACATCTAAACAGATTTAGAATGAATTGGCCTGCCAGAGTTAGTAAAACCTAATATAATTGTACTGTCAATGACAAAAAGTAGAAGCTAATATTTATAAAAACTTAGCTAAGTACTGAAATTATTTTAATGAGATTATTTTCAATTATTTTTACACTGAGACATCCGAACACACACAAAGCCACCATGAAACATGTTTCCAGATTTGTAATCATAATTCAGTTTTCCCAAAACAGTGCACATTTAACTATTCTACTCTATTCTTTATTTTAAAGATAGTAATTTTTCACAAATCTTAATACATTCTGATTTCCTTACTATATAAGATTACTTAAATGAAAAATCATTTAGCAGGGACCCATAGATATAAGTTGCATTTTTCAGAGTTAGATGAGTTATTGGATCAATAAGTCTCAAAACCAATGTAGGCTTGACTGTTCTAGACTCTGTATATAAGACAGGAAAGCCAAATTTCTTCCCAGACAGTTACTACCCAAATCAAGAGAGCAGAAACTCAATTAGGGAGAAATATTTCTACCCCTGAAACTAACTATTCACAAATAAGTGGAACATGGTTATGCATGCCTGTAATCCCAGAATTAGGAGGCTAAGGCAGGAGGACTGCCTCAAGTTTGAGGCCAGTACACAATGAGTTCTAGGCCAGCCTGTACTATACAGTGAGAGATCCTATGAAAAAAGAAAAAACAGCCAAGAAGACAAACACTATACATGATAAATTTTATCGCATTCAAAAAGAACATCATGGATTAATCCACAAAGATCCAATTATTTTTAGCTTTTTTCATTTAGTTTCTTTCTGTAATGTGGGAAAATACATTTTGTATCTTAGTAAAAACTATAATGTGTAAGTCTACAGAACTTGAGAAAAAAGTCAAACTTTATGAGCTAGTGTTATGCTGCTTTTTTTTAAAGAATGAAAGAAATTATAAATTTTACAAGGTAACAGGAAAAGGCTTATGACCTGACATAACGGAGAGCTGTCTTTTCTCTTTTCATTAAATGAGTCATGCATTTAGACTGGATGTGGAGGTGGAGTGGAGCAGCAGCAGTTTGAATTAGGTTTATTAACCAGGTGGCAAGTTAGGGTGAGAATTCTCCTAACTGCTTATCCTTCACCCCAAACCAGATCTAGATTAAAGGACTCTGAATTCTAAATACCATTTATTCAACAACTAAGAAAGCAAACAAATGTTACACCAACTAAAATTAAACATCTCAGTGAAACAATGGCAGAATACCATGTTGGAACCTAAGGCTGATCATATGACATTTTATACTTGATGTTACCTACTCTTTTATACTAATTGCTTTCAATACTAGAATAGCATTTATTTCATAAAATATTTTGTACAAACCTGAAAAGTTCATTGTCTATTGCTTGTACTAAAAGCTCAATTCTCTAGTTAGATGGGCCCTTGGTTCTTTGGCCATTCCATCTCATTACACCCTCTCATTCACTGATCCAACAAGCCTATGTATCTTCTATATTTCTCTTCTCCCATTATTTCTAGCTCTGTCCTATCTTATCCCATCCTATGTAGCCAAATATCAACCAAGTATGTCTGGTTTTTTAATTGTATTTCTTTGGACCACGTAAGTGACACAATAAGATTTTTGATTCAATTATCAACATGTATATAATGATGAAACACAGAATTTTAGATCTATTCAAATGACTGAGATGACTAGATTAATACACAAAACTTTATTTCTCTGACTTTTGACTTATAAACAAGGAAAAGACAAACTTTTTTAAAAACTGAGTTAGAAATAATATATTATTTTCTTTTACCTACACACATACCAAGACAGTAGCAGAATTTCTGAACACTTATTTTTAGGAACTTTCATTATAGATTTTTCTGGGTTATGCTGGCACATGTATTATGTATCACTAATGTTACAAGGATAGGATTTAACTTAAACTCTTATCCAATGTAGAAATGTTTAAGCTTACATAAAAATAGTGGTGTGTTACAGCTGGTTAGTACCAATTATCTTTATACCCCTTTCCATTCATTGTTTTCAACAGTATAATGTTGGGAGCTTGGAATCTATAGCAGCAAAAATTCTCAAATCACAGAAACTTGCAAATAATACAAATTAGGGCTTCTCCTGAAAGTTAGCTATTAAATATTTACCAACACATTATGCATGAGTGATTAAAATAAACTGAACTGGGCTGGGGATTTAGCTCAGTGGCATAAGCACCTGCCTTGCAGCAGGCAGTCGTGAGTTTGATCCCTGGTACTGATAAAAACAAAAAAGACAAAATAAAATAAAATAAACTGAACTATCACTGAATAAGACTAAGTGCAAAAATATTAGATTCAACTTCTCAGCAACTTTCACTTTCTGATTATAAAATCTGATTAATTACATCAACACATGAATTGCCTATTTCCTCTTATCTGTTTCTTGGAAAGAAGGATATTGGAGCCGTGAAATAGCCCATTTCATAAATTTCTTCATATTGTATTAAATTTTCTCGTGGCTTCTTTTATCAAACCACTAACATCTCTGTGTTTTGGGGATAGTACAAGATATTAGCATAGATGCCTGAAATGTCAGAATGTCAAATGGAGGTAAAATAAAACAGGAATGTTCCAGATAGACAAACTAATCATAAAATACGCAGTGGTAAAGCAATCACATAAGCAACCACAATCACTCGCTTTAAAAAAATAACTGGCCCTGTATGAGACCTTCAATTTATTTTTTTGTTTTGTAAAAAACTGCTTTTCTTTTCCTTTTTTAAAGGTTCAGTGTTTCACTGCATAGGAATGCATTAGTATCACTACAATATAACCTTTCACAATTAACTGTATACCTAAAAGAACCTTAGAAAAATTTAAAGAAAGATCAGCAGAAGAAAAAAAAAATCCGTAGAAAGTACTAATAAAATTTTGACAGAATACTATATAAATTTTTCAAGGTGAACTTAGTTACATTAGGTGCTTTTAAAAATTAGCGATGGTATGGACATTTGAAGAATAATTATACCATTATATACTCAAGTGAACTTACTTATTAATGCAGTTTTGATCTTTTTGAGACAGGTCTCACTGTGTAGTTCAGGCTGGCCTTAAACTTACTTTGTAGCCTAGGCTGGTCTCGAATTCAGTGATCCTCCTGCTTCAGCCTCGCAAGTGGTGTAATTATAGGAATGCACCACCATACCTGGCTATACTCAAGCGATTTAAACAGTACCTTGCACATAGTAAACCTTTTAGGAATATCTGCCAGTATTATTTGAATTTGAACAAGTGAAGTTTCAAAAAAGAAACTCTCAAGACAACAATAACCACCATAACCTAACAAAATTCTTTATGATTTGGTATATATGCAGACTAGACGTTTTGGGAACTTAAAAAGTTCTTGAACATTAAATAATTGTAAATAAAGGGTGATTTGTTAAAACGAATGTTAACATTATACATAAAATGCATCAATAAACAATTAAAAGAGTTTACATGCTCGTATATATAATTTCTATACCAGTGCAGAGGCTACTACTTACTTTGAAATCAAAGGTGTAATTGGTGTAAGGCATCAAGTTATTTTCATAGGCGCTCTTAAGTTGGAAGCCGTGTGTGATTCTCCCTTCTGAGCTTCCATTCTTTCCATTGCAGCTGAAGTTCATAAGACACTCATTGTACCTTAGTTCCTTGAAGTCTTTATGGTTGTCAGCTACTCCTCCATTGCTTAAATATTCCACAACACCTAGTAGAATGAAGTAAGGATCACCATCATGTAGCATTTTGTCCATAATTATACAAGGTTATAAGCTAAAATCTGTTTACAAGTAGAAGCACCAGGCTCAAAGTGGTTTATGAGGTTGAATCCTATGAGACTGCCTCTTTTATTTAAAAAAAAAAAAAAAAAGTATCAGCTGGGTATGGTGGTATATAGCTATAATCCTAGTACAGTGGGAGGCTAATGCAACAGAATTGTAAGTTTGAGCCAACCTGGTAACCTCAATGACACTCTATCTTAAAAAATAAAAGGGCTGAAGATAAAGATCAATGCCAAGGATCTGTTAATCTCTACTACACAAAGCAAGAAAAAAAAAAATCAAGTATCACACTGAAAGGTATTTGCCCTAAGACAAAGTATCAGGATCACCCAGGAAGATCTTCAATTCTTAGTGGTTCTTCTGGCTTTAGATGATTTCTAAGAGGTAGGTGGTATTCAACGGAAAGATTTTAACTTTAAGTGTTTGGTGAATATTCTTTTTTTTTTCTTTTTTCTTTTTTTATTTAAAAGGAAAAAGAAACAAAAAGCAGAACAAAACAAAACAGTGTAAGGGTACAAGTAATTCAGAACTACAGAAAAAAAAAACAAAACAGTAAGCTATCACCAGTTAATAGATTACTCACTATCATCTTAGAAATGGTGTTTCAGGTCACAGGGTCAAAGCCCACAAAGTGAACATTCAAATAGTGAGACTGCAAACAGTTGTGTTCAGTAATCCAATCAAAAATATTAATATGGTCTTCTATTTAACACATCTAAACACCCTTGCTGTTGTATCCTTCAGGGTACTTTTCTTTCCCTTTCTTTATTACAATAAAATTTATACATTTTGGGTTTTACTGCTCCCTTAGATCTTATTATTTGGCGAATATTATTCTAAAGCACCTTCTTGTTAGTATTTTTTCATTATACACAGTCAATCAACAAGTTTGGGAATATATATCAAAGAGGTGTGGCCAAAACTCACAGTAAATGTTTACATTTTTAAAAATTTATTAGGTAAAAGACATGTTGCCGTTAATCCCCTTCAAAATACTTACCCTTGCTTTGAACACACTTGTCTCATCATTTCTGCCACAATCTGAAGCACTTTAGAAAAGCTCTTTCCTAAGTGTCAAAAATATGGAAAGGGAGGCTCATAATAACATTATGGTATTGTCCTTTGCCACCCAGTAAACCAGATCTGGCACCACGCAACTTCTTCCTCTTCCCCAAAGTAAAAATAACCATGAAAGGCAAATATTTTTTAACTGATTCAGAACAAGACAGCCACATCAACACAACTAAAGACCCTCACTTATATTACAATTTATTAATAAGATAAAGTCTTCAATATTTATTAATTGGTTTATTTTTGTTCAATAACTTTAATGAGAACTTTGAGTGGGATGATCTCCCTCCCTTGTTTCAGACACATTCTTGGATAAAAAAGGTAATGTGAATAAAAGCCAGTCTTTTGTTGTGCTGTCATAGCTGTCTCAATGCCCTGAATAGATTCAAAACACTTACCTTTCTTGGTCATTTGACTTTGGAGAAAGAGTCAGAAGTCACATGAAGTGCCAGGACTAGGAGGTAAGGTAGATAAGGACACACTATCATGTTTTTATGAGCCTGCCTTTCCAGCAGATGGCACTTGGCAGCAGTATTCTGTGTTTTTTTTTTTTTTTTAATCACATCTTATAAAGACAGTCATAAAAGATGACTCCCAGAATGGCTTCAGGAAGTGGCAAGAATGATGAGTTAACTGTGATCAATAACAAGGGGAGTACAGTAAGAAGAATGAATGACACTGTACCTTTTGATCATATCTCAAATATATCACAAACATTAAACACAACAAAAACATATGTCACATCATTTCAATGTCCATAGTCAGATAATATCATTTTGAAATAGCGTAAGTTTTCTCACTCTGACACTATAAAGAACCTTATATGCCAGAGATACCACTAAGTCAAAAATATTAAGATGTGTCATGTCTAAAAAGTTGAAACAGCAACATTTAAAAATGTATGTTTCCCAGTGAATTAGCAAACATGAAAATTACCATAACCCTCATAATGATAAGGATTAGTGAAAACTAGTATTAGAAGTCATCTCTGTTTGTGATCAATAAATAGTGAGTAACGGACAATAACTGTGACTAGCTCAAAAGGAACTATCATTTATCTAACAAATTCCAAGTACTGTATGTACTATACATGCTTGAATTCTACAAATAATGAGGTTGATAAAATGATTATCTTCTTATAAAATATGAAGAATTTATGAGTAATGGTATGTTCAGTTATACTGGACTTGCCTAGCATGCACCAGCCCCTGGATTCAAACTCCAGCACCACACACAAACATACACATACATAAGAGGAACTTGGGTACAATATCAGTAGCAGAACCAGGATTCAACCCTGAAAGTCTAGCTCCATAGTGAGATCATCACTTTTTGTGACCAATGATAATTAATCAGCTTTAAAAATCGCATGAAATAGGGGCTGGGGATTTAGCTCAGCAGCATAAGTGCCTGACTTGCAAGCAGGTAGTCGTGAGTTCGATTCCCGGTACCAGTAAAAACGAAAAAGACCAAATAAAAATCACATGAAATAAGAGAAAAATTTGTATGTTAAATCAATTAATTTATTTTAAAAAATGACAAAGAAAGGAAAACATGGTTAAAGTGCCATCTAGTCTACAGGTCAGAAAACAAACATTTATAAATAAAAATCTCAGCATTTATTTGCTAAGGAGATGACAGTGGTTAGCTTAGTAACTTTAAAAAGTATTTCAAATATAAATTTTTGTTTTTTTATTTATTGCTGAATGATTATTTTAAATAGCCTCATAATAGTAATGAACAAAACTTAAGAATGTGCTTTGATAATAGCAAATGAGTAATATTTTAATATTCTGCAACTGGGAAATTTAGTATCTGAAATGAAATTAAACAGTTTTAGACAAAGTAGTTCAGCACTGGTTAAGAATAAAAAATCCTAGGAGAACTCATGATCATTTTCTATACATAACATTAGTATTCAATTATAATGAATTTACTGAAAACTTGCACAAGTTATTTAACTAGGTACCTGTGATATTTTCTGGTAGTCACTTCAGGTTACTCTTCTCCACTACACTCTGTGCTTCAGGAAGCTCACCTTTATTGCAAAAGTGACAAACCCCACCCCTAAAGTTTCCACTTGGATTTAGATATTAAGCAGCACTGGGAGATCAGTAAATAGAAACAGTTAGGCAGGGGTCTATTTTCCCCATGAGTTCTTTTCTTGTTGGTCTAGTGGACATTGATTGCACTGTATTACATAGGATCTCCTAGAACAATTAACTAATTTTTCCAAATTCTGATCACAGCTCCCACCACTTTCCCTTTACAAGTAGGAGTGCCACAGAGACCAGAACTGCCTTAGTGGCAGAGTACTGCATTATTCAATGTTTTGTTTTCTATTAACTGTAATCATACCTTTGGAAATAGTTTCTTTATAAAACTTTCCCCAATCACCCATTATCTCACCCCTAGAATTCTCACTGATATACTCCCTAATTTAGAAGCAAAATCTCTATGTACTCAAAAGTTAGGGAAGAAAAAGGAAGGGGGGGCCAGGAATGTAATTCAGTGGTAGTATAGGATACATAAGACCCTGGATTTAATCTGTATAACACATACCCACTCCACCCTCCCACACAAAATTAGGGACAAGCTGGCTTTTCTACTAAACCTAACAGCAAAATTGAAAGCAAGGAGGAAATGACATAGTACCTGAATCTGGCAATGAGTTAAGATCTGCACATAGCACCAGCGGGATGGAATTAGGATCTGCAGTTGGGCTGCCAGGCCTACTTGAAGCTTTTTCCAGAATGTTTTTCACCTCCGAGACAAACATCATGGTCTGGATAAGTTTCACATCGGAATACTCTGGGTCCCAATGCATGTGGGCATTTGCCACTATAAGCAGCTGTTTTTCTGCAGCATGAATAGGCTTCATACCTATATTGAAACATTTAAAAAAAAGTTATACTTTGCCTCAAAAAAAGTGGTATCTTATCTGTTTTATCAGAAAGATTCACAGCTATTTTTTTAAACATCTTCCAGGAATTCATGGCTCTTCTATCTCAAACTAGTTGATAGAAAACGAAGTGCTGAGATTCTGATAATTCTAATATGGGAATTACTCTTCTATCTTAGGTTGACAAATGGTAATGCATAGGCTAAATCTGGCCCATCACATCTGTGTGAGCTAACAATGCTTTTACATTTTTAAAGAGTTCTACTACAATACAACATCAACACCCCTACCCCCCCACACACACACAAGGACTGTGATTAAGACTGCTTGTGGCCCATAAGCCTATTTACTATTTATTTAGTCTCTTACAGAAAAACTTTGATGACCCATGCTCTCTACATCCAAGTTAGGAATTTTATCATGATATAATCAAGTTGGATTACAGCACCTTGCATTTGCTGGTTTCTTAGTTTAAGCAAGCACTTTTAAATGTTGCTGCCACTTAAATGGCACAATAACCTGTGAGGTGGGTTTTTAATGATCTGAGTTACCTATGTCCTCACTTAAATTAGGTGCACTGCCCAGTACTCATTCATCGTGCATTTCCAAAGCTTAGCTATGACAGCTTAATAGTAAAAGTACTATTTACCTATACAAAAAAGTATATTTACCAATACAAAATAAAATTAGAATTCACTACCCAAACAAATCATACCACACGTTTAATATAAACAAAGAAACTTTAAATGAGAATTAGGTTCTTCCTACCCAAGAACAAGGGATATCTTTCCATTTTCTGATATCCTCTTCTTTCTCGAGAGTATTGTTGCATTCAATGTAAAGGTCTTTTACTTTCCTCATCAGATTGATTGTTAGGTATTTCTCTTTTTTTTTTGGATGCTACTGTGAAAGATGTTTCCCTAATCTCTCTCACAGTGAGTTTGTTATTTGTGTACAGGAATGTTACTGATTTGGGAGTGTTGAGTTTGTATCCAGCTTCACTACCGAACTCAGTTATTAAATCTAGAAGTCTTTTGGTGGAATTTTTGGGGTCTTCCACGTCATGGGGTGCCGTGTCATGACAAATAATGATAATTTAACTTCCTCCTTTCCTAATCTTATTCCTTTTATTTCTCTTGTCGAACTGTTGTGGCTAATGTTTGCAGAACTATTCTGAATAAAAGTGGTGACAATGACATCCTTTTCTTGTTCTTGATTTTAGAGCGAAAGCTTTCAGGTTTTGTCCATTTGGTATGTTGTTGGCTACTGGTTTGTCAAAGATGGCTTTTATCAGATTGAGATAAAGACCATCTATTCCAATTTATTGTAGATTTTTATCACATGAGTGTTAGACTTTGTCAAATAGTTTTTCTTCATCTGTTTAGATGATTCCACTTTTTTTTTTTTTGAACCTGTAATCTAACTCATGACCTTGTGCTTGCCAGGCAGGTGCTTATGTCGCTGAGCTAAATCCCCAGCCCTATTGAGATGATATGATTTTTGTCTTTGACTCCATTGATAAAGGTGTATTATATTTACTGATTTGTGTATATTGAACCATCTCTGCATCCCTGGGATGAATCCGGGTATATAATCATGGTCATGGTATATAATCTTCTTGATGATTTGCTGCATTCTGTTTGCTAGTATCTGATTCAGGAGTTTTGCATCCATGCTCACTATAGAGACTGGCCTGTAGCTCTCTTTCTCAGTTGGGTTTTTCTGTGGTTTCAGTATCAGGGTAGTGCTTGTTTCCAGGAATGAGTTAGGGAGTACTACTTCCCATTCAATTTCATTAAAGAGTTTTTGAGAAGTAGCAGCATTAAATCTTCCCTAAATTTCTTGGTAGAATTCAGCAGTGAATTCATCAGGATATGGGCTTTTCTTTGTTGGTAGAGTTTTAATCACATCTTCAATTTCACTGACTGATACTGGTTTATTTAGAATTTTTATATCTTTTTAATTCATATGTACCTAGAACCAATATAGTGAAAATGGCCATACTCCCAAAATTGTTATACAGAGTTAATGCAATCTCGATCAAATTTTCAACAGCCTATCTCACAGAATTAGAGAAAACAATTCTAAAATTCATTTGGAACCAGAAAAGACCTAAAATAGCAAAGGCAATTCAGGCAACAAAGGCAAAGCAGGGAGCATCACAATCCCTGACTTGAAACTGTCCTACATCCTACTGTGATAAAAACAGTGTGGTACTGGCAAAAAAAAAAAAAAAAAAAAAAAAAAAAAAGGAAAACAGAAAAAGAAAAAGAAAAAAGAGAAAGAGAAAGGAATAGAAAAACAGACCCAAGGATCAGAGGAACAGATTAGAAATACAGAAACAATGGAAACATATTCAGCCACCTTATCTTTGACAAAGGAGCCAAATCCCTTTCCTCACTGGAAGAAAGATAGCCTCTTTCACAAAAGTTGCTGTAAAAATGGGCTTTCATTAAAACTAGTCCCATAGCTTTTACTGCACATTAAAGTTAAAATGGAAACGAATCAAGGATCCAAATATTAAACCAGAAACATTATGCTAGAATTGAGAATAGGTAAAACTTTTGAAGATAGTGGTATAGGCAGACTTTATGAACAAAACCTCAATTGCACAGAACTATCACAAAAAAGTCAACAACTTTAATCTCATTTCATTAAAAAGCTTTTGCATGGAAAGAGAAACCAACAACAGAATAAAGAGATAACCCACAAAGTGAGAAATAAGTTTTGCCAGATGTTCTTCAGAAAAAGTACTAACATAGAGAGAATAGAAAGAACTCAGAAATATTGCACCTCATGTCAAATTTAAAGAGCCATTTCCAAATGAGCATCTGAAATGAAGAGATACTTTTCAGAGTAAGAAACAGAAATAGTAGATAAATATATGAAAAAGTGTTCAACATCACAGGTCATTCAAGAGTTGCAAATTAAAACAATGTTGAGATTCCATCTCAACCCAAAAAGAATGGCTATTATCAAGAAATCAGTAACAAATGCTAGCTGGAATGTGGAGAGAAAGAAACTCTTCTTCACTCCTGGAAAGTGTGTAGACTGTGCCAACACTGCAAATCACAACCGTGGAGATTCCTCAAAAAACTATAGGACTAGAGGTCCCACTGAATCCAGCTGTTGCCCTTCTTGGTATTGTCCCAAAAAGAATTAAAGAATTGTACCACAGTGATATAGGTGCACCCATGTTTATGGTGGCACAATCTTTAATAGCTAAATTTGGAAACAATCCAAATGCCCATCAACCAATGAATGGATAAAGAAGATGTGGTTCTTTTACACAACAGAGTACTACTCAGCCATAAAAGGTAATCTTGAGACATCTCTAGGTAAATGGATGCACCCTGACAGCATCCTCTTGAGCAAAACGCATATGTAAACACACAGTTTCTTTGGTGTGAGAAACCAGAAGTGTAAAGAAAGACCAAAATGCATAATAGATATTGTGAGATGGAAAGAAATGCTCAAATGGGAAGGGGAGGAGGGGGGAGGGGAAAAGGAAAGGAAAATAAGAAAAGAAGTAAAAAAAGGAAACAAATCTTTTGTAAATAGTGTGGGCAACACAGGTTGCGGAGAGGTTAGGGGAATAGAGAAAAAAAAGATATATCATGTACAAGTACAAATTCCTCATGAATATGAATATGTACACCTAAAATGAACTAATACACTGAATTTCTAAAAAATGAGAATTAGGGTACAATGTGCTTTTGGAATGTTCAGGTACCTGTGTTTTAGATCTGACATTTTTGCTAATTATTTGTGGTACCATGGGCCAGTCAGTCACTTAACCTTTTCATGTTCATGCAGAAGGTAATAAAACTCAAACTCAACTACAGAATCTCTAAGGTTCTTTATTACCCACAATTCTATGTTTACTTTGTCAAGATAAACATCAAAACAGTATTTACCAAATGGCAGACCAAGAGGTAATACATTAAAATCTGTGCAAAGTATACATAAATATATATATTTATAGAAAAATGTGTATAAAATATTCAAGGAATAAAGCTCAGTATGCATGGTAAGATCTGTATGGAGAAATGGACTAGAGGTTTCCTAGAGGATGACTGAGATGGGGTGGGAGAATGTTTTAACACTTTTTAATTTTTACATGCCTTTGGATTACTATCAGTGAATATCAGGGAATATTCAAATTTAATTTTCCTGCTAAAACTTTTATAAAAATATCCCTTTTCTATACAAACATAAATTCTAGAGAAAAAAGACCTAATTTTCTAAGTCTACTGTTTTGGTAAACTTTTCTTACTGTATTACAGAGATAACTATCTTCAATGTTGAGATGTGACTAGAGTAATCTATTACATGTGACAGAAATCATTTTTAATATGATCTGATCATGAGATAAACACTTGCAGCCAAAATCTTACGAACTGCCTTCCTAGAAGTTTTATAGTGTCACTTGTGGCTGCAGATTTTTCATGACATGAAATATTAAAAATCTGTCCCATCACAGGAACCACATCACTTTCTGTATTACCAAAATGCCTTTTCAAGAGTACAAGAAATATAGAGTGCACAAAGTAGAGGTATCTAATATATAATTGAGGATAATTTTCAGCAAATGGAAAGAGAAATAACATTCCAAAATAGTTTTTATAACACCAGAACAAAAAATACCAAAAAAATGGAACTGAAAAGGACCTAAGAACAGATTAAAAATGGGAAGGCTAAAAACAGAAGACAAGGATGCATGGGCTGCCACTGTCAAGGGGACAGCTAGATGCCAGCCTTTTCCTGTCAGTCAGCGCCATTCATGGACTACAGGGGAAGAGAATAGGAAGTCACCAAGAAGCAGGCACTCCCTGCGAATCAGTGCCATGTTCAGGCCATTGAGGGGACAGCCAGACCCCAGCCTTTACCCATGAGTCAGTGCTATTTAGGGATTGTGGAGGAGAGAACAAGAAGTCAACAAGAAGCAAGCCTTCCTTGTGAATCAGAGCCATGAGCGGACTGCTGTGTGGGAGGACAGCCAGAACCCAGCCCCTTTAAGTGCATGGGCTGGGAAAGGAAAAGGAGCCATCTACCTCCACTCCTCCCTCCAAACTCCCTATCCCATAAGGGACTGCCTGATCCAGAGACACATAAGCTGTAACAATAGCTACTAAGGTGAAATGCAATTTAATGCTTTGCTGTTTGGTGTTTCACTTACTTTACAGGTCTAGGGCCAGTGGTCTGATCATCTATTCAGAGGATAACAGTATACAGTGTGGCATCTACTGAGAATCTCCTTCTGGGGTGGTAGCCATTTTTAATTCCCTATTATTTTGTTTGGAAGCCCTGTATCATTTTCATTGGTTTGTTGGTTTGGGTTTTATTCTGTTTTGTTTTGATTTTGTTATATCCAATGGTATGAGCAGCTATTTCAAAGATAGTAAGACATGGGCTGGGGATTTAGCTCAGCGGCATAAGCGCCTGCCTTGCAAGTGTGTGGTCATGAGCTCCATCCCTGGTACCGATTTAAAAAAAAAAAAAGAGAGAGATATTAGCCTGGGAGCCGGGCGTGGTGGCTTACACCTGTAATCCCAGCACTCCGGAGGCTAAGGTGCGAGGATCATTACGAGTTTGAGACCAGCCTGGACTACAAAGTGAGCTTAAGGCCAGCCTGAACTGCATAGCGAGACCCTTTCTCAAAAAAAAAAAGACTAAATAAATTTATTTTAAGAAGATAGTAAGACATTATGGTAGCCATTTTGGATTTACTACTGTCTTATTTTGACTGCACTTATTGTTTTGTTTTTATTGGTTCTGTTCTGTTTTGATTTTTACTATGTCTGAAGGTATCTGCAGCTATTTTATACACAACAAGAGACATTATGGTAACCATTGCTGATTTAATTTTGTCTTGAAGTCCTGTGTCACACTGTTTTGATTGGCTTTATTCTGTTGGTTTTTTTTTTTTTTGATTGATTTTATTCTCTTTAAAATAAAAGAAAAAACCACAAAGACAATTCAAAATCTCATACCAAAGATTCGTTTTCTTTGTTAAGGGATAAAAGGAAAAACAGCAGGAAAAAGGAAGTTTGACATATATACATGGCCTGAATAATTCAAACCAATACTCAAGGCAAAAAATTCAAGAAAGAAAAGAATTCTTGATCTGTACATGCACCTCCATGCTCTGGCTTAAAATATATTAGCAAACAATGAAATGTTCAAAGGTGGGCAATGAAAAGGTTAAGAAAAAAAACCTGGGTAATGCAAAGTAAATAATGAGTTTCTTACTCTGAAGGAAGCTATAAATAATGTATAAAACTGAAGAAACGTATCACACCTAGACATAGAAGATTCCACATTTACCATGACAATGACTAATCTGTAACAAATAAATTAAAGGAAACATATCAACTAACTTTAAAGACAAAGGTTCACATTCAAAAAGCTAAAAATATGGCTCAAAACAGGACCAGTCACTGTAATTTCTAAACTCAGCTTAACCAAATATTCCCTCTTTCAAAGAAACCTTTCTATTAGTGGCATATTAAAAATATTTTATACCTTTTACCTGGTAAGTAAAAAGCAATGACAGAAACTCATTTCAAATCCCAAAAACTATATGATGCTTTTTATTAGTGCTGTTTTGTTGTTGTTGATCTCACTTAACTTTCCTTAAAAGACAAGAAGGTAACTTTACAATAATTAAGGTTCTCTTCACTTGTTTTGACATCAGAAAACTTGGGATGCTATGTAATTTTGGTAAAAGTACTTTCAATTGCACTCACCTGCTCCAAATAGTTCTTTGTGGACCTCTAATACCACAGCAACACCAATGTTATCTTTTGTCATGACTCTGTTCAGCATAGCTTCAGATCCATCTGAATTAGCCATTGCCACCTGGTTAAATTCTACTGTATGCTTCTGCACCAATGTAAATCTGAAAGGTATAATACACTAATCATGATGATGTAGGCACTTGGACTATCATGCTAAAAACATTAAGTGATGGGGGTATAATATAAACAACCATCTACCAATATTGGTCATTTTCTAACTACAAGTGGCCATGTGAGAGTTCTGACCAATGAAACTGACTTTTTTTTTAATAAAAAAAATTCCCAAATGCCCCACCTAGCAAAGACGGCAAGTGACATTCCCTTTTTACACCTTTCCTCCTTCCAATTGATGCCTGGAGGAATAACAATCATCCAGTGACCATGAAGCAGCTATAATAATTCTGAACTGCCTATTTCTACACTTCTTATTTAAGAAAAGCACCCCTGCTTAAACTAGTATTCAGATTTTCTGGCATTTCCTTTTCTTTGTAACAAATTATTATTTTAGAGTTAAAGGATTTAGTAGAATTAGTCTGCCAACATTTAATAGCAGTGTAAATTTGGCAAGCCATGTAACCTGTTTTACCTGGATTTTATTAATTCTGTGAAATAATTATAAAGAACCAAACCCCGGTAAACAAACTATTTTCCACTGGATGTTAAATTTTTGATCTGATTAACAGTACCTCATCTTCTTTCTAGTTTTAAAAACAAAATCACATACATCCCTTCAAAAATACTGTTTAAAGGTTTACTATGCTACAGAATGCTGTGCTAGATTAAATAACACTCCCCTTCCTGCTCCAATTCTGAACATCTTCAAAGTGTTTTAGAAGTGTAAAGGGTTCTGTTACACCTATTTCTAACCCATAGTACTTGAAGAGAATATGGTTTCTACCCTCGACTTGAAAGAAGTAGTCTTTAAACTGAAATATAAAGAACAAAAGAGTTATCAGGTGAAGAATAGGATTAAGAGTCCTCCAGGTAGAAGACAGAGATGAAAAACTGTGAGACAGCAAACAGGTTTGTAAATGTATGGCTTTCAGAAGAAAGGGTTTTTTAAATGTTGGAGATGAGAGGAATAGGAATAATTAAAAGTACATGTCCATGCACTCCTACCCTAAACTTTTTTCCTGAAAGAAAAGATCAATTTGCTACTTGATATTTGTGGTAAGGCAGTTATTTGAACAAAAGTGTATTTAAGGTACATCCTTCAGTTTGGATATGGTTTGCTCCCCAAGAGTCGATGAGTTAAGAGGCTTGGTCACTAGGATAGTGAGCTGGATGAAAGAGCTGCTGGAACCTGTAAAAAGTAGAGCCTAGACGGAGATCACTGGAAGGATCACTCTGAAGAAAACTGAACATTTTTGCATGTATCTATTGGTCATTTGCAGTTTCTCATTTGGGAATGCTGTTTGTTTTTGTAAAATAGTGGTCAGAAAAAAGCAAGACTGGCCCCTTCCCACTCTCTCCTGGCCTATCTCAACATGTGATTTATTCCTCTTGCAGGCATTACCAACACGTTATCCATCCTGAGGGCTTTGCCAGAGCCAGTATGATGCCAGTGCTATGCTTGTAACAATTATTATAAGCTATGTAAGCATCTTTTCTTTATGAAACACCCAGCCTGAGGATTTTTCGTTACAGTAATGAAAAACTGAATAATACAGTGTGCTACCTAAAACTAAGCATAAATAAACTACCACATCATTTTTTGAAAACTAAAACTGTACTTTGGAGACAGTCATATTAATTATAAGCCAAACAGGGAACTAATATACACCTAAAACTTTTTAGTCTTTTTACTTTTAAACCAAGTCTCTTCCGTCTTGCATTTATAGATTTATATTTTCTTGGCCAAGGGTGGGTAGTGGCAACATCAGATTTATTTTTAAGTCTTTATCAAGTTAATTATCATAAACACAGATAAAAAGCCACACTAACAGACCAAAAAACATATAAAATGATTATAGTAAAACAAGGTACACTTTTAGATATAATTATCCATGCTGGATTACAGTAACTTTTTAAAATTTTCTTTTCACAATTTATATATTCAATTTTTCATATAAGAGCAACCATGTGAAATTTAAGCTTGTGAGTCTTCATTTAATATTATGATCTCAAGGTGCACTGATTTTCTTAGTGACTCAAATTGATCCAGCTGTATGGCAAAGTAGTCCTTCTGTGAGTACAATAATCACACTTTCTTCATCATTCTTGGGTTGATGGACATATAGGCTGGTATCAAGATTTAGCTACTATGAGTTGTACTATAGTAAACATGGGTGTACATGTATCATTATAGTATGGCGTTTTTAATTCTTTCCGGAAGATACCTTTAGAAGGGGAATAATCCACTCAAATGGAATTTCTTTTAGTTTTATGAGGAAATGCCACATTCATTTCCATTTCTACAGTGATTATGTCAGTTTAAATTCCCACCAACAATGAAGAAGGGTTCCTTTTCTTCCCTGCAATCTCTCCAGCAATTTTATCATTTGATTGCTTGAAGACAGCGATTCATCCTGGAGATGGAATCTCAATGTTATTTTAATTTGGATTTCGAAATGAACAGCAATGTTGAACATTATCAGTTATTTGTACTTCCTCATTTAAAGTATATTTCAGATGACTGTTTTGATTAGGTCTTTAAATTTTGGGAGGGCCTCTTTTGGGTTCTATATATGTGGATATATTAGTCCCTTGAGGAATAGCTGACATTAAGTCTTTCTCACTTTACAGGTTTTCTCTGTTGGTAGTCACTGTGCAGAAGTCACTGTTCTGTCACTGTGTAGAAGTTCTTTGATATGATTCCATTTGTAGATTCTTGATATTATTTCTTGTCCAAATAGGATTCTGTCCTAAAAGCCTTTCCCTATACCTGTATCTTTGTGGTTTTTTTTTTGTTTGTTTGTTTGTTTTACTTTATCTTCAGTAGGTTGTTTCTGTTTCAACAGGTAGATTTTTTTATCTATTTTGATTTCGGTTAAGTGCCTGGGCTCAGTCTTTGGCAAGTGAACATGGTCAGCCAGTTTTCCCAGAACCATTAGTTACAGAAGCTTTCTTTCTCCAACAAAAGTATTTGGCCCCTCTGTCAAAGACAGGTGTCCCTGGAATTGTTTCTGCATCCTCTGTGCTATCCCGCTGACCCAGTTTGTTTTGGTTTGTGTTTGTGTGTGTATTATTGTGTCTTTGTTAATGCTATACTGTTTTATTGCAGCTGCAAACCATATTTTAAGTCCAGGATTGTGATGCCTCTTGTCTTGCTCTTACTGTCTAGGATTACTTGTTATCTAGATCTCTTCTGGTTCTATTTAAATTTTGGGATACTTTTCTCTAGTTCTGTGAGGAATGCTATTGGTATTTCAATTGAGAGTACATTAAATCTGTGTAACAGTTTTCAAAGTATGGCCATTTTCACTATATTGGTTCTACCTATCCAGAACAGGGGATTGTCTCATAGCCTCTTATCACCTTTTTCAGAGTATTGTAGTTTTCATTTCAGAGATCTTTCACTTCCTTGGTTAGATTAATTCCTAAGTACTTTATTTTTCTTGATGCTATTATAAAAGGTGTTTTTTCCCTCATTTCTCTGTCATTCTGTATTAGTGTACAGAAATACCACTGATTTTTGAGTACTGACTTTGTATCTTGCTACATTACTGAATTTGATATCAATTCTAGAAGTCTTTTGGTGGATTTGAAGATCTTCTATGTAGAAGATTATGTCATCTGTAAACTATGATGACTTAACTTCTTCCTTTCCTATCCATATCATTTTTATTTCTTCTTCTTGCCTAATTGCTCTGGCTAATGTTTTGAGAGCTATCCTGAGCAAGAGTGATATTAGTGGAGATTTTTACCTGTTCCCAATTTCAGAGGGAAAGCCTTCAGCTTGTCTCCATTTAATACAACATTGGCCACTGGCTCTCATAGATGGATGTTATCAGATTGAGGTAAAAAAAAAGTTTCTATATCTATTTTTTCAAGGTTTATCTCATAAATGGATGTTGGGTTTTGTCAAATTTTTCTGCATCTACTGGAGATGATCATGTGGTTTTTGTCCTGGTTTCTGTTTATGTTGTATTTATTAATTTGTGCATGTTGAACCACCCCTGAAGTGAATTCTGGTTGGTAATGATGTCTGATCCCTTTGATGATTATTTGCATTGTGTTTGCATATTTTATTGGGGATAATTGTGCATCTGTGTTCATTAAAGAAATTGGCTTGTAGTTCGGTTTTTTTTTTTTTTTTGGTTGGGTTCTTTTCTAGTTTTGGAATCAATGTAATGATTGTTTCCAGAAATGACTTTAGGAGTACTGCTGCCCTTTCAATTTCATTAAAGACTTTCAAGAGTATTGGCATTAGAATGAAGTTTTTATAGAATTAGGCAGTGAATCTGCTGGGATCTGGGCTTTTCAATTTGATAGTTTTTTGTTACTTACTTCTTCAATTTTATTGAGTAATACTAATCAGGATTTTCATTTAGTCCTAAATTTGCACATAGAGACACATTGTACAGACTCTTCATCAATCCTTCAGGATTGTCCAGTCAAGGTTACATGGTATGCATGAATATACATCTGATTGCAGAATAAAGGTAAAAGATAAAGGTTTTTGGCCCCCGTGATTTAACTCCCACAGGCCAAATTAGCTCTTAAATTCCCTGTGAGATCAGCAGACACTATCAGGACTGCAATACAACTCCATTTTGTTCAACGTCCAATTATGGTTTCTCTCTCTCTTTCCCATAAATGTAGTTCCCTTGAAGAGCAAAGTATCTCAAGGTCTATTTTGCAGGAGAACTCAACAAGTACTATTACTGCCACTATAAAGACAAGGAAAACTGAACCAGGTGAAATACAGAACTGTTCATCCATCTCTAAAATCCTAGAACTTTTCCTACAATCATAGTAGACTACTCATACTAACTGCCTAATCACATTTCTACAGAAGCTTTCAGGAGGTATAAATCTTCATTTCAAAATCTAACTACTTAAAAGAAGTTTATTGACTCTGTGGCTCACCAATCTCACCAAGCTCTTTTTCACCTAGTCTTAATCTTTGTACTTGGAAAATAATGCTCAAGATTATGAA